GTTTGGTTACCAAAATATCTTCTTTTGTGTTCTTCAGGAGAAAGTAAGTCATGTGAGTGAATGATGACAGAGTTTTCATTTTTCCATGCATTCAAACCTTTTTGTTTCATGGAAGATTTCATGCATCAAATCTGTATCTTTTGACAAGACATTCAAAGCAAAAACTGACTGAACCAGACACCATCCAAGCTTTTATTTGAAAGATGCATTGTTTTTTTTCCACCATTAGGTTTCCTGTCCTCAAAGAGTAAGTGTCCTCCTTTACTGCTTTATGGAAGAATGAGTTTCTTTGTTTCCCTATTAATCTCTTTATGTAATCATCTGCTTTATTAAGCTGTGCTGAATGTGTTCCATGTGGATGTAGATACTACTTCATGGAAAAATGGAAAAGGGATTTTTCCAAAATGCAAGGTTTCCATGTACAGATGTGACAGCGCTTCACACAATGCTGTAATAACACCGAATTTCAACCTTGTATGTCTTGTACTTTGGAAAATCGCTAAATTATGGAATTCTGGGCACTTTTACTCAGCGGTTAGCTCTTTTTGCCCTCAAAATTATTTTTATTTTTCCTTCTACCATGCAATCCCCTATTTTTCTTCTCTTGTTGTTTCTAATGCTTCCTGTCATTCTACGACATCCATTAGCACTTCCACCTCATTCTGCCGCACTTATATTTGTTTGGACAAATGCTGAGGGAACATTGGGCTTTCAAAGTGACTGTAAAAAGCAGAACAAACTAAAATAATCCATTCCCAGCCTTAGCTGTATATCAAACCTTAATGATAGGGCCCACTCCCCATTTCTGCCTTGCTCGCAAATGCATGGGCCCTGAGAGCATTTCACAGAAAACTGGCATGTTTTTCATTACTGTAGGCCCACTTGCGGTGATTAGCCATAGTCTTAAATGGACATACTGCGAAAGGTCAAGTGATGGTCTCCGTCCTAGATGGTTGCACGCTATTGTGCTAGCGCTTGAAGTTGCACGGAGGATGTCTGCACTGTCTTTACAGCATTTCTGTGTTGTCGATCGTCAGCGCTCAGATGGCGTCAGGGGTTGAGAATGCCGAAGGGTGGTTGGAAGCAGTACATTTCAGATGGATTTATAGCCTCTCTTGAGCCAATTACCAGTACACCACCCCTCCCCTATCCCAGGGCAGACACAGTGAAGGTGCTGTGACATCGTTGAGACCCTAAGCACTGACCCTAACTTCACCCTGCCGCTTCCCAGCGGGAGCTTTTACAACTTCAGCAGCCTCTCTGTATCCTGACACCTCCTGACCTCCCCTTGGCATTCACTCCCTTATCACCCTTCCAAATAAACCCAGCACTGCACCTTATTTGGTGGAGGAGTCACAATTATTGCCATTAGTCCTGCGTACACAGTGAAGTATGAGCTTTGGCGTGTTCTTCCAGAAGCATTCTGGAGTGCCTGGGTGTGTGAGGGTTAGGTGTTGCTGGAGGGAGGGAGTGATTGTGTGTGTATTCAGTGTCTGACAGACTGAAGCAGCTCCCTGACAAAATGCATATCCTGTGAGTCCTGCCCTATTTAACTGTCATGACTGATTGATCGCCGGCTAGAGCATTACGTACAAGTGAGTGCAAAAATAATGCATTGGTTGCATTCCATATATGTGGCGAATATTTCTTTAGTGTGTGTCACTTTAAACATTTATCAGATTTTCTTTTGTGTGGGGGGGGGGGTCATAATTTTGTCTAGACAGAGAAGGTAGATAATGACAGGAAATTTGGAGAGATAGGAGAAAATGAAACAGAACATATTGCAGGCTGGACTCCAAGCTGTTTTAACGTTTTACTGCATACATGCTGATTAAGTGTATTATTTCTTGAAATAAAACCTTATTGAACTCCAACTTTTGAACGGTAGTATGTGTGCCAGCTCTGATGGTGTCCTCATCTTAATTTGCCCTCGCTATTAACATTTTTGCTTTAGTTTCTGTAATTTTATTGCATCAGGCAAGAGATTTAGCTAGCTGTTAGCAGAGACAGGAGGGGCTCTTCAGTGAGACGCACAGCTGCTAACAGACGTCCACACTCTCACTGGAGGAACTAAAGCCCCATCTGCTCAGTCAATCACTCAGGCACGAGAGCCAAATCTGGCCAGCCATTCCACCCTCTGCGCATTGAGACAGCTAGAAACGGCTGATAGAAAGGGCGGGAATATCACTCTTTCACTTAGTGTTGGTTCACGGGCTTGTGGCTGCCTTGAAGCTCTTCTACCTGACATGTGATATTATGACCCTCTTTATTTCGAGCCCTCGTGTTGGTATGGTGAAGAGGCGATTCAGTGAGACTTTTAATCGTCTTTCTGCACTTAACTGCTTGCACATTAGCATTAGAACTAAAGCACACAGATTAAAATTGAGGCACGACCAGCACTCCAGTTCCGGGCGAATGTTGTTCCCCCCACTTTGGGAAATTTGTCTCAAGATGTCTTAAAACCATAATACGCAGTTGGGACTAAAAGTCTGAAACCACTAGTGAAAATTATTTTTCTGATTTAATGCAAGCATTTCATTACAAATTGTATTATCAGTACAATTTGTAAAGTTGGATTTAATTAAAATTAAGTTTGTTCATATTTGATCTATTTTTGATTTTTGTTCTCCCCCAAGATTTAAGAATGATCCAAAAAGCATCTTGTGCATCAGTAGAAGCACAACAACAGAATTTCCTCCTCTTTTTTGTTGTTGTTGTTGCGTTACGTACCATTTATTGTTTACATTTTTTGTTGTTGTTTAATTTGTTTATTTCCCTACTTCAATGTAAAAAATCCCAGATTGTAAGTGTGGTCTTATACATCTGAACCCCAGCTTTTTGTCCCACAAAACAATCTATCCCACAAACAAACTGAAAACATACTAACTGACACATAATCTTTAGTGGTGAGTGTTTCTACAGACGTTGACAGTAATGGATTTTCTTTTTCCCATCTTCCCCTCAGGCTCCCTGGTTTGCATGTTCCTGCATTAGTAGTGTTCTAAATGTGAAGAGAAGCAGAAAGACATTGTGTGAATATGTGTGTGCCTTGTGGGGTGTTTTGTCTCCGCCTCAGTGTAAGCATTACTCTTCACAACATGTTTGATCAATTTAAACATAAATGCAATCCATTTCATTAATGTATAGAGAGAAATTTGAGTATAGCTGTATGTATGAGTTTGGGGATACTTTTTATTTGCAGTCTGAAGGTGGACTACTTAGTAGAGGACTTATTAAGAGTCCAATGAGACCATATCCTTATGTGCCTGCTGGAAAATGGCATATTGAAGCAGATGGATTCCTCCATCACTCTCAGAGCAGGATTATGCATTACGCTCCGCCTTTGCCTCAAAAGTCTGTTCCCTCTTCAGCTCAGACAGCAGCAAAACTCCAGTCCAAAGGCTATTAACACAATCCAATCAAGATTGGTTTTCCCTAAGGCTCCATATCTGACTTCTGGAAAGGATTCTGGAAGAGGATGGACTAGAAGGGAAACGTGAGGGCGTTTTTTTTTCCCGGCATTGAAAGTGGAAAAACTGGGGACATTTTCAAATGGCGACAATCTGCCAGCTGACACCTGGTGACAGCCAAGCTTAATATAAATTGTGAGACCCTCCAAAGCACTTGCACTAGCATGAGGACAGCTGGCATTACCTTATCCTTTCTCTCTCACACATACTCTTATATAGACACTTTCATCCTGTATGGTCTTCCAGAAGCCTCCTCTAATCAGAGCGCCGGTCTCCAGCACGTTTCAATAAAGCTCCTACCCAAGTGTGCTTCACCAGTTTTGCCCTTGACTTTGGCAGAGGGCACCAAAGCACACACAGATCTGGGGATTACATGCAGGATTTCCATGGGGGGAAAGAAAAGCTGTAATAGGAAACTTGTTGTGCCTGGTTGCTGTGCTCCACCACCACTACAGTTCTTTCAGGCGGCGTGGCGCATTATTGTGAGGATGTTAGTTGCTCGAGCAAGTTCAATAGAGCAGACTATTTTTGTTTCAACGGCAGATGCAACTCCACTTGTTTGGCTTCCAAGTAATATCAACAAAGATTTGGAGCATTGAACCCTCTTCCCTGAACACACCGGATGGCGGATGGTGTATCACAACGAATGCAAGTGGAAGTCGATATTTGCTTCATTAGTCATTCTGAAATCAGATGCAAAAGTGATCAGATGTTATCCAATCCAGTTTATGACAACATGCACACATGGCTCTTGGATGGAGCAATGCATTCCAAACTGTTACACACAATATTTGTTTGGGACATCTGCATTTATATTGGACAAATCAGTATCAGCCCAGTCAGTACCAGCAAAAACTAGGGATGCATGATATATTGGTACACTCTTAAAAATAAAGGTTCTTAAAAGAACATTTTAAAACCTTTTTTTCCACTATAAAGAACCTCTTGTGGATTAACAATATATTATCAAGTTGTGATATATCAATAGCATTAAAAATTATTAATTGTAGTTTTTAATGTCCTACTTTTAATTTAAGACAAAATAGTATATAATTTTAATATATGCCAGTTATTTATCCGTCATTAACATAAAAATAAAGGATTTGATTCATGAGTTGATTCGTGCAAGTCATTGGTTATGTCTGCGCAAACATGCACGTTTCATCTGTGTAAGTTCAGCCTCATGTTTGCCGTAAAGCACTCCTTTATAACCTGCCTTCAAAGAAATCTTGCACAATAGGCAGTTGAAAGGGCATAGGATTGAATGGCCACTTTAAGAGTAAGCCGTACTTGGCCTTCAAGTATACATTCCTGCAGCTTTGTGTTTCCTCTGTGGTCCTGCTCCTCGAACCCACCCACTCACATTCAGGAACCAGACGCTTCGGGTTCCCACAGGGCCATCAGCCAAAGCAAACTACAAAGAGGAAATGTGGCTCTCACTCACTCACTCACTCACTCACTCACTCCGTCAGTAATGGAGCCCTTGTTAGTTCTTTTTTCATTTTCTCAGTCATGATTCAGAATATGAAGTATGTTACATTTTATCTTGCATTAAGCATAATATTTTATCTGTAGTGTAATGTGTAGTGCTTTGCAATAATCTTGTTTAGAATTCTTCAAAATTGTATAATAAATCCAGATGGCCACAGGCTTCCTTTAAGGTTTATAAGACTGTAGGTTTGAGTCCAGATGTTGTACATGTCCTAATCGGCATGCATTGTTTGTTTGTGTGGTTTTGCCCAGCTGTTTGATACAGTCTGCCCTGCGTGTGTGTCACAAGGCCACGCGTTTGATGTGGTTGTGAGCGAGGGCCCTGATTTCAGATCAGCGGACGTTGTATCAGCGGCTCCCTTGTGGTGTCTGGGAGGGTTCACAGTCAAAGACTATTGTGTCTGGGATGCCCTGGTCTTCCTGGAACTTCAGACCTCAGGGAAGGAACAAACACAGACAGACGGTTTTTGTTGGATGTGCAGTGGTTGTTCAACACTTGAGTCATGTTTGACTTTACCCATCCGCATTTTTTGAAGGGGGGAAAAAACAGTGCTTCCCTTTGCGCAAGGCAGGCAGGTCTCCAGACTTTTTAAAATAAAAATAAAAAAATAAATACTGGGGAGCCACTGGCTCCTAAAATTCTACATGGATGCTGCACATTGGTGGTGGATGAGGAGATACCCCTGACAATGTAAAGCGCTTTGAGTGCCTAGAAAAGCACTATATAAAATGTAATGAATTATTATTATTATTATTATTACTATACTATATTTGGGGGACCAAATTACTTTTAGTTGACAAATTAAAGAATTGCTTGATAAATAAGTTTATTCAGAAGCCGTTTAGATCCCATTTGATGTTTCTACCTGGGAACAAGACCCAATACCGCTGCGCCCCAGTAAAAAAACTGAGAAATCCTTGTCTGTCAAAGGAGATTACTGTATAGGCCTACCTAAAATTCATAATCCTTGACGATATTTTAGCAATCATGTTGTGTATTTTCTATCGGTTGTTTAGAATAAGAATAACAGCCTCGATAATGAATCAGTCTTTTAATCGAATCGATAAAACGTGTTCGATTCAGGTCTGATTCAGGATTAATTTTGATTAATGCGGACAATCACAGTACAGTCATGCACTGAATCGTTTTCAGAGGTTTGTCACATCGAAAGAAGAGACAAAAACCTGTCAATTATTGTGTTCGACTATGGTTATTCTAACAAGTTTCCCAATTGCCATTACCCTATGTTAAAAAATAACCAATAATATTTTAGGAAAATATTTGAATTGTTTTTTTAGAATACCATTTATTACAGAAAAACTGATATGATTACGTGTCTTCAATTGTAAATACCGTTTTATTTACACTGAACAAAATTATAAACACAACACTTTTGTTTTTGCCCCCATTTTTCATGAGCTGAACTCAATGCGTTTATAATTTTGTTCAGTGTAGAAGCAGACAACATTCGCGGTTCAGTGAGGGAGTCAGTTGCGACAGTCTCACCACCCTGTGATATGCTGTAAGAAGTGGCTCTCTAGTGTTGAAAAGAATTATAGATATATTTCTTTCCACTCGTGAAGTATATATTTTATACTATTTCTACATTAGAAGATTACACATCCTCTGTCATTCTGTGCCTGTTTAATCATTCAAAAAGTGTATTGAATCGGTAAGAGGCTCCTCTCACAGCGCTACACTCAGGCTGAAGAGTTCTTGATCATGAATTGGTCCGCGCTACTCCACTCTGCACTCTCAGAAAGTAAGTGTGTGCTTTGTGTGTTTCTCGGCTCCAAGGCCCACGTTACCCACTGTAAACTCGTCACTGAAGCTGGACATGCTGGACAAGCAAGTGTGTATTAGTGTGAGTGTGAGTGAGATCCGCATTGAAGAAATGAGCTCCAATCACATAACATGCTCCCACGCTTTGTGATAACAGTTAGGCTTTATTATTAGAGTTCTTATTATTAGTATTATAGTACTTAAGATTGGCACAGAGAGCGAATGCTAAATAATGTGTACTACAAGATTGCTGTCACTGTAGCTGGTATGAGACAAAATCCAGCCCGACATCTCTCCCTTGTGTCGCATTATATTCAAAGACTTTCTGTAAAAGCCGCAGTGCCTGACCTTATTTATCCAGTCATTATTCTCACCCATGTGGTGTTTTTCACTTGAAAACACCACATTTCTCATTCATTGTGAACCATTTTTGTATCAGCACCTCTACCTGACTTTATCCTCTCCTAACTTTTGCACTACCTCCAGCTGTCAGGATGCTCTAGTTAAGGGGGTGTTTTAAATTCCTGAACTTGAGTCAGAATGGCACAGGTTTGGGCAGGTCATTGGTACGGCAAAGGTAAACACATCCTGGATCTGACAAGCTGAAACCTTAGGGCAAAGGGGAGGATTTACTCGCTGTCCTCCTTTTTTTTTAGAAACACTTTTTAGTTGCATGAATACCTGTAGTGTTTGGTTTTTGTTTGTACTGATGCTAAATTTACCTCTGATTTCTCTCAGATATTTGCTGAGAGCTTTAAGTCGGTTTGACACCTACATGGTCAAAGCTGTACCTCAGTGCTGGTGTCTTGCCTTCACAGGGTGTTATTTCATCTCACAGACTGTGTTTTCTTTCCCCTTCTTTTTATTTTACAGGCATACAGTCCCATTCCCTCCAAAAAGTCCAAACATGACCGCTCAAGATCCCCATCAATGGATAAAGCGAAGCAAGCTGATTGGTTACAGTCTCTGGCTGTATCTGCAAATAAGGTTGGTTTTATTGGCTTATTGTTTTCTTTATGAATTACATTATCCTCATAGTGACAGGGATGTTCCTCTTTCATATTTTGTGGTTTCAAAGATTTCAGATCTTTTCATTTAAGCCTTCTTTTGATTCAAAAGGCTTTTTTGATAAGCCTTTTGATTTTGATTATTATGGTTATTTTATCATGTGGACATAGATATTGAAGTTAGGGGTGCACTAATATTAAAACTCTACACTAAATAAATTAAAAACAAGTCATTTTAAATGCCCCAAGTGAATTTAGGCATCACAACATTATAGTACAGTATGAAATACAATATGAAAAGTTTATATTTATTCTGGGATTTGAGATAAAGATTAAATTATTATTTTTAAAGATTAACTTTATATATTGCGTCCCTAATGTAATCCTCTTATTTTTCTCTGTTTATGATCTTAAGCCGCTCCAGTTCAAGCAAAGACCTTCAGCCTTCAGGCCCTGGTCTCCCAGAGTTCCTTCTGCTGAGCGAGAGACACCTAGCCACACATATGAGAGGTACACCACAAGAACTACCATTTGACCATTAGTGTGATTATAGCATTAATACATTAATGATTCACCATAAGAAATTCAAGCATCATCTCCACTATGCAATACATCAATATATTTATTTGATTGAGACATGTAATTAACATCTCATTTTCCCCTGACATTCAGATCGCTTGCAAAAGGACAAGACAGCCTGGTAGTCCCAAATGTGTCTCTGCCTATTGCCACATTTAAAAATAATGAGCAGCCACCGCAACGTTTCTCTCAGGCCACTGAGAGCCACAACACAGGCAAGACAGAGAGCTCAAGGCCAAGAAAGAGGTGGCCCTCTGCAGAAAGACAATCACAGCCAGTGGCTGAGGCATCTCTGCCCACTGCAGCAGTCAGACAGCGTCCTCTGGAGAACGAGGACTCGGACGCAGAAATTGAGGTTGACAACTGTAGCAAAGGTAGGATGTCAAAAAAACATAATGGCTAATGGAAAAACATTTGCAATATCTGGCAACTTTTTTTTACTGGTGTATTATTCTCTGATTCTAGTTCCTGCCCCCCGTTCCTTGATGTCCCCTCCCTTTACCTATGGCGTTGGGGTGATGAACCTCAATGCTTACAGCACTGCAGAGGTGCATGATGGGAGGGTGAGACTGGGGGCGGCCCCTTGCTCTGAGCTGGAAGTCATCAAGCAGACACTCTGCAGTGACCTTAGCTCTAAGGAGGCTAGAGAGAAATTCCTCCAGGAGATCATCCGTATGCGAGTGAAGCAAGAGGAGAAACTAGCTGCTGCTCTGCAAGCCAAACGAAGCCTTCAGCAGGTACTTACTGGGAGGTCCAAAAGTCTGAAAATTCAAAATATAATTTGAAGATTTTTTTTTTTTTTTTTCAAATGAAACAATGACTTAAAATAAATGGCAAAATATTCACTTTAAATATTTAAATACTGAAATTATTCAAAATATTATTTTTAGAATAGTTCAAAATATTTTGAATTTAGAATATGCTGCACCAATGTTATTGTTAACTCAAACTAAAACTGACAAAAAAAAATCTGTAATTGAAATAAAGCTGAAATAAAATAAAATATGAATGTTCAATACTTAAAAACTAGATGAAAATTAGAAATGTTACTTTGGCCACTAACTGAAATACTGAAAATTAATAAACTAAAGCCAAATAGAAATGTTAAAAAAAGGAAAAAGAAAACGATAAAAGCATGCAACAACATTACCAAATCTTGAATTAAAATAACAATTTAAAACATAAAAATACAAGCTAATTCAAAATATGAATAAATGCCACAATAGAACATAAATAATACTAAAATAACACTGTTCTGCATGAGCAAATAAGCAAATTTGTAACACTGCCTAAGCAAATTGCTTTGTACACAAGGTGTCAGATTCATGTGTTACCCTTGAATAATATTGACTGTCTTTAACAGGAGCTGGAGTTTGTCAGGGTGACTAAGAAGGGCAGGCTGAGGGAGGCCATCGAAGCAAAGCGGAACCTGAGGAAGGAGATTGAGCGCCTCCGTGTGGAGTGTGAGAAGAAGGTGCGAGATGCCAACGAGTCCTGCGGCAGGCTGAAGAGGGAGCTGGACAGAGAGAGGCAGCTCCATGTGTGCGATAAGGGCTGTGAGGCAGGACGTCTGAGGGCCAAGTATTCCTCACAGGTGAGATTTGGCACATCCTGTTGGTATGTTTTAGCACAGCCAAGTACAGAAGGTAAGGTTACACTGTGTCCTGGCCAGTATTGTGTTTT